TACAAGTTTTTCTGGGACCTTGTGTTTTCATTTATCTTGGTTACAGATGGAGGAGTGGAATTGCTGGCTCATATGGTAACTCTACGTTTGACATTTTGAAGAACAGCCAAACATTTTTTTTACACTTTTAAAATCTGAATTAAAAGGTAATTTTAAAACTTCAAAATATATGGCTTCCTTCTAACAGTTGTAAACCAAAAATAAAATTTGAAGGCCCCCCCCACCCCCACAACCACTGGAATGAAGTTCCTCCTCAGCTAGGGCACTCTAAAATCTAACCAGAAGGACTGATTCAGGCCATGACCGGAAGTAGGGGTTGGACATGCCTCATGCTTCTGCAGCATTCACATCAATACAGATCTTAAATTTGATAAGAATATTTACTTTTCTCTCTAAAGCCTGCTACTTGGAGGCTTCATCTGCATAAAACCTAGGACTCCATAACCCCTTATCATAATCCAGATATTCTTTTCCACTGATAATAACTCTTTCAACCAACTGCCAATCAGAATATGTTCAAATCTACTTTGACCTGGAAGCCCCCACCTTACATGTATTGAGTAATGTATTCTATCTTCCTACAATGTATTAAAACAAACTACCCTGGCTATTTTGGGCACATGTTGTCAGGACCTCCTGAGGCTGTGTCATGGTGTGTCCTTAACCTTGGCAAAATAAATTTTCTAAATGGATTGAGACCTCTCTGATCCTTTTTGGTTTACACAGTTGTACACAGCAGTCTGTGCTCCTCCGTGATTATGTGTTTATTATATGAAGAGGGCATCATAGTTTTATCCCTGCAGCTTGGAGCTGGAGCATCCTGGGGCTCCAGCTGGCCTAAGCCTGCAGGGGCCGCCATCCAGCCTTCCAGGAGAATCCCAGGTTAGCATCTCAGACTCATGGAGGAAGTTTTCTTCCTGTCTGGCCTAAAATGTTGGCTTTGCCCAATGTTCACATCCCATAGGTCCTGCCCACTCCCTTCCCCTTATGCACTGACCAATGTCTACAGGATGGTGAAAGGCAAAGGCCTAGATAGTTCCTGGGGGTGCTGAGTTCCCACAGTAATACAGAGAAGAAAAGACCAAGTCAGATGTCCACCATGACCAGAAGACCTAGGCAATACTTTCGTGATGGATCGGGTCTCAGTAGCCCAGACTGGGGAAGGCAGAGGGATGAGGAAGGGTGTCTTTGAGCCAGGCAGTAGGGCTGTGGAGGGGGAGAGCCTGGCCTGCCCAGCCGATTGCCCACCTACTGTGTACCAGCTGCTCTGTGTTCAGCTCTTTATTCACCCCCATCTTTACAGAGCAGGAAGCTGAGAGTTCAGAAACCCTTGCTGAGTGTCCCACAGCAGCAGAAGGCAAACCTGAGCTGCAGACTGCGTAGGCCGAGTCCCCCCAGCTGGCCTCAGACCCTGGTCAGCATCCCTGCAATCTGGAGTCTATACACTGGCACAGGATCAGGGGACTGACTCTGTTTGTGTTTGCCCGGGCATCCATTCCATATCATTCAGTAGCCTTCAAATAGCAGCACCTGGCCCTGTGCAGCAGAGCGCCTGTCTGCTATTTTGGAGGCAATCATATATTTTTAATAACCAGCAAAATCTCCCTGTGAGAAAGGAAGGAGAGTTGAAATTACAGCCAAGCAATTTACATTGCGAATCAAGTTATCCTCCCTCCTGCCCTCCAAGAATATGCAGAAATAAATGCCTCCTAATGAACCCTGGGGGGCTGAGGCTTTGATATGAATTCTGCTGTAGGCAGAAAGAGTTCTAGCCAGACTGAGACCCAGCGTGAAGTTGGAGCAGGAGGGCCAGGGCTGTTCCCTTCAGCACAAGGGAGAAAGGAAATTGGATTATCTTGCTAGCAGTTGGGGTTTTTCTATCACTTAGAACCATAGATAAGAGCTCCCCTCCTTCAGATGGGAGGAATTAGATTTAGCCCTATTTAACCAGCAGGCTCCCACCCGACTCCATTGTCTCCTCCCTGGCCTTGTTCATAACCCCTCCAGCCCCATCCAGACTCCCAGGGTCTACCAGGAGCTCAAAAGCCTTTGTCTTTTCCAGGACTTAAGAAGACCTATGAAAGATGGATGGATGGATGGATGGATGGATGGATGGATGGATAGGCAGACAGACAAACAGATAACGTTTCTATCTGAAGTCAGGTAACCTTTCCTTCTGGATGCCACTGGGAAAATACCAGCTCCTCTGTCCTCCCCCATGGCCTCCATGATCTGTGTTTACTCAGTATAGGAAGGTGTGTGTGTTGCAAGCATGCATTTGTAGGAATGAGCCATATGGGGGCTGTCCTGTCAGCCAAGTGGCTGGGTAGAGTGCGTGGTATGGATCTGAGGGCATCTGCATGTGATATCTGTGTGGGCCTGAAAGCATGTGGTAATAATGGTTCATGGAGACTTGCGAAAGAGAGGGTAGAAAGGCTGTTCACTGCCCGCCTCAGGCAATGCATAGAGATGGGCACCAGTCCAGCGTGGACAAAGGGAATCTGCAGGAGATCCCCAGCTCTCTGTTGCTCTCACCTTTCCTCAGAACTACAGACACATCCTACTAATCAAGATTTCTCCTTCCCTGCTGGTCCTGCTTGAGAGGGGCCTGGAAGCTCCTGGCGTGAAATGAGACCTTGTATGCAGAGACAGGGTCTCTCAGTGATTGAGCAAGTGGGTGTGTCCATCAGACAATTCCATTTCAAAGCCCAGATCCACCGATTGGGATAAGTAAAACAGGTTCCTCTATCCCTCCATTTCCTCATTTATACAATACGGAGAGTAAAAAAAAAATAATAATCCTATTATCTTGTGGCAAATGCTTATTAACAAATGTGAGTCATTATTGGAGTGAGTAGATTAGCAACTGCTCAGCACTTAGGATCCCATTATTGCAACTGGCATTGAAGCAAGATGATTTAGCCTTCCAAAGGCGTTCTGAGGGACATCTGAGGGTTAGGGCCATCCCCAAGGGAAACACTGAATCCATAGTACAAGGAAGGGCTCTGCTGATAAGGGTGCTTTCAGTATTTCTTTGTCAGTGATGGCACAGTGCACAGAATTTTGAGGAACTTGTCTACATCAAGTTACCCCTGGGAAATAAAAGAGAGAAAGAGGAAACTATTATGGATTACAAAAAGAAACACATAAGAGTCATATTAGTCAAATGCAGTTGGGAACACTGACTGGATTGATTTAAATTAATCAAATATAAAAAGATATTTATGGGACAATTAAGAATATTGAGTAGGTATTAGATAATGTTGGAGAATTATTGTTGGCCAGGCATGGTGACTCACGCCTGTAATCCCAGCACTTTGGGAGGCCAACATGGGTGGATCACTTGAGGTCAGGAGTTTAAGACCAGCCTGGCCAACATGGTGAAGCTCCATCTCTATAAAAAAAATAAATTAAAAAATAAGTAAAAAATAAAAAAGGAAAGAATTATTGCTAATACTTTTAGATGTGACAATGTTGTTGTGGTTATGTTAAAAGACCAGCTAGTCTTTCTCTCCTAGAAAATACATTAAAATAGTCATGGGTAAAAGAGTATATTTTGGGCTTAATTTAAAATAATCTAGCTAGTGAAGTGGTTTGGAAGCAGAGAGAAGCAGATGAAACAAGACTGGCAAAGTGATGGTTCAAGAGGTTTCATTGTATAGCTTTCTCTAATTTTGTGTTTGGCCATTTCTGTAATTAAAATATTGAAAAGAAAAAAAAGAAACCCTCTCTGGAGCCGCCCCTTAGAGAGGGGCTTCTGCCCTCTTACAGTCTCACCAGAGCACATGATTCACTCAGGACCTGGGACCCACAGGGAGAGCCAAGGCTCAGCAGTGCTTTCTAAGCCCTATAAATCAACAAGCACAGCTGAAGCCATTTAGTAGGAAGCTTGTTAATAAGAAAAAGATGGTTTAAATGGGTCATTTTATTGGCGAGAAGGAGCAGGAGATGATAGAGAACAGGGCCCCCCTGGCGAGAAGGAGGTTTGTAAGTAGTGCCAAGCTCTCCCTCACAGGCAAGAGTTGGATTGCATTAACTCTATCATGCCTCAAACCTTTTCCAGGAGGATGGGGAACCCAAGGTGGGAGCAACAGGAGTGAGGATGGGCCAAGAGAATGTGCAGAGGAGAACACCCCTTGGGTTATCCACCTACCAGAGACGCATGGGTCCTTCAAGGGGCAGCTGGGAATTTTCAGATTCTAGGGAGACCACATCTGGAATGGAGCATGGACTCTCATGTGTGACCCAGGGCAGAGAACTGAAGGGAGAAACAGTCAGCTTGGAGTTTTCAAGAAGAGTAATGAGCCAAAGAGATGAGAAAGACCTCTAGAAAGGTGGGACTTCCAAGGAAAAGAACCCAAGAGGGAGCCTGAGGGATCAATAATGTAGTGAAACCAGATAAGGACAACTGTGGTTGAAATGCACGGGAAAGTGTTGATGATAGTTGTCTTGGGGGATCATGAGACTTAGCTTCCTTAGCCCAAGGACTAAGAAGGTCCAAGCACCTGGGTTAAGGGCTTGGGTAATGACAGAAAGGCAAGAAGGCTGAACTAATCGGATTTGCCACCACCAGGAAGAAGATCACTGAACTTATAGTCAAAAGACCCAAGTTCCAGTAGACTTTGCCATTTCCTAATGAGAAAACTGAGCAATCAATTTTCTCTTTTATCCTAGGTTTCCCATTGACTTGCAGGATGAATGAGACCTATTTCACAGGCTTGCTATCAGAGCCATATTTGTGCAATAAAAAGTGCCTAGGATTTGGAGTCAAGGCGCCATGGAGCCTTAAGCACGAGCCTAACCATGAGTCCTGTGATTTCAAGCCATCAGTCAATGCCTCTGAGCCTCTATTCCTCATCTGAAAAACAGGAGAGGAATTCCAGCCTATCACGAAGTAAAGAGAAAATGTAAGTAATCTGCTTAGCACAGTACTTGGCACATGGTAAATACCCAATAACTGTAGGAATTTGTGATGTAAAATATAAGAACATAAACAATGAGTGCTTCCTTCAGCAGCACATATACTAAAAAATTGAACGGTACAGAGATTAGCATGGCCCCTGCATGAGGATGACATACAAATTCATGAAGCGTTTCTTTCTTTCTTTTTTTTTTTTTTTTAAGAAAAAACATTAAATGAGGTTAAATGTGGGAAGTCACTAAGAATGGCACAGAGAAAGCACCCTGGGTGAGAGAAAGCAGCTCAGATCATCTCAGGCTTCTGGTTAAAACGGTGCCTTCCTCAACTCAGCATTTACCATTTGTACTTTTTCTCTTTTCACTTTGGGGACACGACTGCCTCGTTTTAACACAGGCACTCCTCTGCTTTGACCTGCAATAGACATGGTAGTGTCTATTACATCAATAAGGACTGTTGGTTGACTAAGATCTTTCTCCACAGGGGCAAATGTACAGCAACTATGTCCTGGGCATGATCCAAGACTTAGGAGAAGAGAAAGGGGGCTTAGAAGTTGGGAAAATAAAGGCAGACTATGGTTGAGTGTTACTCTGTAACCTACACTAGCCTGCAGTGGCACGATCTTGGCTCACTGCAACCTCCACCTCCTGGACTCAAGCAATTTTCCAGCCTCAGCCTCCCAAGTAGCTGGGACTACAGGTGTGCACCACCATGCCTGTCTAATTTTTTGTATTTTTGTAGAGACAAGGCTGGTCTCGAACTTCTGGGCTCAAGTGATCTGCCCGTCTCAGTCTCCCAAAGTGCTGGGATTACACGTGTGAGCCACCATGCCCAGCCTGGTTGTTTTTGTTTCTGTTTTTATCTTGTATTTAACTGGGTAGCTTCAGAAAAGTTTTTTAACATGAACAGTGATTTGTAGGCCAAGAATCTTAGCATTGTAGCAAAAAAAAAAAGAGAGAGAGAGAGAGCTTTTTGCATTGTTAATACTCATGGGTATATATGGATCTTTAAACATGGGCATGCACACTGCCTTCCTTCCCAGAGTTTGTACCTTGTGGTTGCTGAAGAGACAATTATGACATTACCTTTGCTAAATTAAACAACGTCCACTTCACCCACATTTGTTCTCAGTTCCTGCCACACGGGAACAGCCCTCCCTCCCCTGGCCCAGCCTGTGCCCTGGCTGGTCCCCAACCCTCCCACGGAGCAGGAGGTGACCCCAGCTGGGTCTTGGGATGTTTTCCTTTCCGTCTGCCCCGTTGGTCCCCGTATGGTAGACGCCCGGGGTGTGAAACTGGACACCTACAAAGTTGGCCTTCTGGTCTAGGAGGCCTCAAGAGGAAACCAGTGGTCCCTCCATTTCCTGTGGATGAAGGATTATGTGATTGAAACAAATCACCCCTCATTCTTCTTTCCAAGTCACACACGCCCAGTGGCTGAAAGTTAAATGAGCATGAGACATCAAATCAAGTCTGGGCTGAGACTCCAGAGTTTAAAAGGCAGTGCGGACTTCCAGGATGCTTGTTTGTCTCCTTCCAGCCACATCCCCTTCTCCAGTGAAAGGAGGGGGCCAGTACCATCCCCTTGTGTAGAAAGAGGGAATCCTACCACCCCCACTTGCTCTCGTTCCTGTTACTTTTCTTCTACTGTCTTCTCTCTTGCAGGCTGATGAAAAGCTCTTTGAGTTTCAAAGGGCTTGTGTCATACAAGCTCACCCATGCCGGCTGGTGCCGGGAAGGGAATATACATCGAATGAACATGGCACTGTCTACGACCACATCACCCTGAATGCACCCAATCTCGTCTGAATTAACATGTTACCACAGGCCAGGGTGCCTGGAAGGGCCTGGAGGGAGGGTTTTTTTACATGGAAATGAACTGCCACTTGGCTCCTTCTGTAACTAATCACCACTGTTGTTGAAATATTACTATTTCTGTTACAACCACTAATGCCTTAAATGAGGAACAGGCACTTTGGGGTAACATCAAATACGGGATGGTCACTTCTCATTTGGGATCTCCCAAGCCTCCCAGTGAAGAGCCAGGGAACCCGTTTGATTGCTGTCTGTTAACTGAGTTGGAGCAGCACCAGGAACCACTTGACTCCTGTTTAAACCAGGGCTTCCCTGATGATGGTTGTGGAGTATGGAACCTGGAAGGAGACCTATAGGGAAGTGAATGCAAAGGACCTGAGTCCCAGAGTCACCCAGCCTGAGTCATAGCTTCAGCCCTCCCTAGCTGTGTGACCTTGGACCGTTACTTGCCCTCTCTGAGCACCTTTTCTCAAAGAAACGAATATACTAATAACATCACTAGTACTGTTGGGGTTGTCGTGAAAGCTCAAGGTAACGGAGACAGGCATTAGCACAGAGCCAGCAGAGGCTCCAGCATGCAAGCGGTTATTACAGTTTTGTTGATCTTGGTGTCTGACACCCTTCATAGACCACCTCCCTCCACACACGCCATGCACAGACATAGCCATGTCCTCAGCAAAATAACTAGTTTATGATTTACACTTCTTTCCACTGGCTCTGGGTCCTAGGAAACCCATAGCCGTGACAATGACCAACACTGTGCATTTCCCTTCCTTGTTTATAAGCGCATTGAACATCCACACGCTGCTATTTCATCCAGAACCACCTCGTGGGGTATATTGTGCATCCTTAAATTCTTTTTTTCAGAAGAGAAAGTGAAGGGGTTAACCAAGGTATCTGGAGTCACATAATTCACAAATGGCAAATCTGGGGCCAAAGTTGAATGTCCTTTCTTCCACTCCGAACTGCCTGTTGGTCCGGCATTTTTTAAAAACAACATGTACCATCCCCCAAGGGCCTGGCTATTTGCTAGGAAGTTAACTCACTTATGGGTGGCAATGTAGAGACAGCCGTCAAAGGATTACCCATTGCAGGTAAAATATTTGTATTTTGATGGCAGTCTTCTATTTGCTAGGCTTTGATCCAAAGGATTCACTGTAATGGGTATTTTCGGGTCTTGTGGAGTAAATTACATTAACCCAGTAGGTGATTGTCTTTTTCCTTCTATGCGTAAGATTTGTCACACACACTGAGTCTATGGATACAGGAAATAAAGGGGAGACATCACAAAATTGTAAAGTGGTCAGCAACCTTTAACTCAGTAGGGTGTAGCCCAACGACCAGACCATTGCCTCCTAGACTTAACCACTTTGTCTCACCCAGCCGGACTCAGCCACCGGGCTCTGGGCCAAGGGCGAATCAGTTTAACCTGCTGGGCTGAGCTGAGGGAAGAGTGAGCTTTTCAATGACATTCACATCTCTTTTGATCTTAAGAACATCCTATGAGGTTGTGTGCAGCAGGTACCATCTTCCCTTACATCAAGGAGGAGGTTAAGAAGGCTTAACCAAGATGCCCAAGATCCCAGGCCAGCATGCAGTGGTGTCCAGAACAATCTCATTCTTTCCGAGTGGTGCCTCTTCTACTCCTTCCTGCAGTCCCTGCACTTCCTGGGTAGTAAACGAGGAAACCACAAATTTTTCCTCCCAGAAGTCTAGCCAAGCCTTGTCTCTACAGAGGGAATCCGGGAGACTGGTGGAACCCACAGAGACCGCCTTGTTCACAACCACATTGCATTTAGGTGCAGCCTCTGGAACTCCACTATGACGTAGATTTGGAGAGGGCCCAGAGACAAACCTCTCCCAAAATGGAGCTATGTAGGAAGAACAGGGGGTCAGGGGTTGACCTATTATATTCCTTAAGAGGGTGAAGGATTCACTGTGGTTGTTTTTCCCTAGAACAAGGCAACAGCTTATGGGTTTAAACCATAGCAAGAAGATTCAGGATAGACATTAGAAGGAGCTTTCTGGTCATAAAGGCCACAAAAAGCTAAAGCAGATTTACAGGAGAGGAGAGGAAGCTACTTCTTTGGAGATGTATAGGAAAAAGGTTAGCTGTTGAGTAGGACAGCAAAATTCATCTTGGAGAAGAGGATATTGAAGTCTAGGATTACTAGATTTCTCTTTGAGTCTTGCAGCTAAAAACTGCCAGATGATACCATATAAATAGAAAGTGTAACTACACTTATTTTTAATTGAATAATCACTGTTTCCAATTTAGGATTATTTCAACAATGCCTCTTTTTATATTTCTATTTTGACTCTCTAGGGGAAACTTGAAGTTTCCTGGTAATTTATAATTTTAACCACAGTTTTCCTGAGGCAGTAAGTTTATATGGGAAAATAGTTCACTCTGAATCTTCAAAATTTTTTCTATGGTATAATTTGCCATCACTCTAAACACACGTGTCATTATCTCATAAGCTCATAATTGCTGACTCCTCTAACCCTGACATCTCCAGAACAGGTAGTTCTCCAAAAGAACACATCGTTGCAATGCCAATACAAAATGCAGGCACCCCTGTATGCCAGGGGGAGAAGTCAACATTGTTTAAAAAAGGAACTGCCTCCCAGAGATAGAGAAATCAAGGCTGCTCTACAACTCCGGACCCTGATGCTTTCTCCCTGGATTGGAAGTCCCTGTCCATAGATGCAGATGAGGGTGCCGACTTGTTCCAGGAGGGCACATGTGCCACAGCCATTCTGGCAGGTGAGGGGTTGACACAGATCCAGACACACTCCTGCCCTCTCTCCCTTGTATTTATGAGATGCCTCCCAGAGGAGTGAGCGGCGTCTGGGAGGCCAAATCATCAGCTGGCAGGGCTAAACCTGTGGCTAATTCATCCTGACCTAGTCAGACAGCACAAAACTGACTGAATCATCCATCGTGACTACATTACAGAATAGAGCAGCACTTTCCAACATTTTTCACACCATGGCACACAGAGAAAATAATAAGACAATGTAAGACACGGCAGGACAAACAAATGAAGTTGTTTGCAACTAAGTGGTTCCAGCCATTCCTGGCCTTGCCTGGACAGCCAGTGGCTGAAGGGCTAATATTTTGTGCCATTTATTGGGACGTCTAGTGTAGAGCAAAATGGTTAGGGCAGAGTAGTGCCAGGCAGGAGAGGGCTCTGAAGGTAGACGGCTTGGATTTGAGTCCTGGCTCTGTCACTTATGACCTTGGATGAGATACTTAATCTTTCCTTGCCTCAGTTTCTTCACAGATGTAATGGGCTTAGTAACAGGACCTACTTCAAGGGCCTGTTCTGAGGATTAAGTGAGTTAATCCATGTCAAGTGCTTAGAAGAGC